TTTTTCTCTCTGGGAATCACACGACAAACTGAGGGACAAGACAGACAAGAGCGCAAGCGGTGTTAGCCACACCATCCAAACGACTCCAAGGGTTAGGGAGGACCAGACACGGACAGGGAAGAGGAGGAGACAGAGGAAGGAGAAAAGGAAAAGGAGGCAGGAAGGAAGAGAGGAAAAAAAATAAAATGGAAAAAAGGAGGAGAAGGAAGAGGAGGAGACAGAGGAAGGAGAGAAAAAATGAAGGAGCCACGAACTCAGCAAAGACATGATGGTGAAGGAGGAGGAGGAAGAGATGGAGGAGGAGGAGAAAAAAACCTGAAGGAGTCAGGAAGGAAACCTGGAGGAGGGGGATGGGGATGAGGAGGAGGAGAAGGGAAAAAAGAGAAAAAAACAAAGAAGCCATGGACTCAGAGAAGGAAAGATGGAGGAGAAGGAGAAAGAAAGAGGAGAAGAGAAGGAATCAAAGACTCGGCAAAGGAAAGGAGGAAGAGAGGAAGAACAGGAGAGATAGGAAGGAGAAAAGAAAAAATGAAGGAGTCAGAGACTCAGTGAAGGAAATCAGGAGGATAAGGAAGAGGAGGAGGAGGAGACAGAAGAAAAAGAAGAGAAAGGATGAAGGAGCCACACAATGAAGGAATATGGGCAAGGAAGAGGAGGAAGAGAAGAGGAGGAGAAGAGGAGGGTCATGGACTCAGCAATGGAGAAGAGGGGGGAGAGAGGAAGGAAGAGAAAAAAGAAGGACCCACGAACTCAGTGAAGGAGAGGAGGAGGAGGAGAAGGGAGAGAAAGGAGACAAAGGAAGCAGAAGAAGAAAAAAGAAGGAGTCGGAATCAGTGAAGGAAACCAGGAGGAGGAAGAGGAAGAGACAGAAGGAGGCAAAAAGAGAAAAAATGAAGGAGCCACAAACTGAAGGAATGTGGGTAAGGAAGAGGAGGAAGAAAAGGAAGAGGAGGAGGAGGAGGAGGAGAAGAGAAGGAGTCATGGACTTAGCGAAGGAAAGGAGAAAGGGGGAGGAGGAGACAGAGGAAGGAGAAGGAGAGAAAAAAACGAAGGCGCCACGGACTCAGCGAAGGAAAAGAGGATTGGTTAAAAGCAGCACGTCCTGCAAAGCAGCTCACTCAGTCCCCCTCCTCCCTGAAGGGGGTCTGGCTCTCTGCAAAAGGCCTCCCCTCCCCCTCCCCAAGGGAGGGGATCCTTGAGAAATTCTTGGGAAAGGAATCAACTCTCCTGCCAAGGGATTTGGGTGGATTTCAGGAGCTGGTGATCTCCAATATATATATATTATATATATATATATATATATATATATAATCTTTCTTTCAAGGCCTAACATTCGCCACACTATGCTGTCGAATGCCTTTTCAGCTAACTTGTATCCAACAGGCATCGAGACTTGGAGGCTTCTTGTCGATTTAAATCCTGGGCATCCTGGCTAGGGAATTCTGGGAGTTATAATCCCACCACCACCGTTTTGAGAGACCCTGGACTCGTAACCGGGTTTTTTTGGACTTAATAAATTATGTGATGAACAAGTGTGACGATACATTCAAACCAAGGTGGAGACATCTTAAGGGTCACTTCGGCCAGAACAATATCTTTCCTCTTCTTTCTGGAAGAGAGCCACAGCCCCCCAAACCCCTCAGCTCCTTCCTTAAGTCGACTGCAAGACCTCTACTCAGAGACCCATGTTCCCCGGCAATGCTGCCCCCTCCAAAAAGCGTCGTGCAGGAGCAGAGGGTCCCGAAAAAAGATCCAGAATAGAACTCAAGTCAGAGAGGAAGAAAAAGTGACCCAAAGTGGAGAGCAAGAAGACGAAAAAAAATAAAAATAAAAATCTAGGTAGTCCTCGACTTACGACCACAATTCCTGTCGCTAAGCGAGATGCTGGAAAAGGGAGTTTTGGCCCCGCTCAATGACCTCTCTTGCCATCATCACTTAGCCAACCGTTATGAAATGAGTCGCGTGGTTGTTAAGGGAATTGGGCTTCTCAAGGACGCTGCTGGTCGGAAGGTCGCGAGAGGGATTTGCGTGAAACCCCCCCCCCTCCCCAGGGACACTGACATCCCCGAGATGCTGCAACCGTCATAAGTACACAACAGTTGCCAAGCGTCAGAATTTGGATCAGGTGATCAGGGAGATTTTTTTTAAAAAAAATGACAAGTGGCTTTTTTGAGGGGCCGTGGGAACTTCCGAATGGTCGTTCAGGAAACGGTCGTAAGCCAAGACACTACCGGGTAAAAAAAATCTAGGAGGGGAGGTGGCTCTCTCCTCTCACAAGTGTCGGAAGTCGAAAAGAGGACTCACTTTCCCGTTGGGTGACTTTGCGAGCCCTTCTTTAGAAACAGTTGTTTTATTTGGAGTGGTTTTGGATACCGCGTTGGGTTCGGAGTTTCGGGTAGACACAGTGGACTTTTTCTCTATTTTGGCCTAAAATGGAGATAAAGTTAGGAGTTTTCAGATAATCAGAATGGCAAAACAACATCCCATTAGAGTCGCCAACGGGCTTCTCAAGCGACAGCGAAGATTGCAGGGGTCCTCGGATTTACGACCGCAAGTTTCTGCCACTAAACAAGACAGTGGCAAAGGACGTTCCATGTCATGACTTTTTGGCCGGGGTTTTGAAGCAAATCCCTGGCTGTTGTTAAGCGAGTCACACGGCCATTAAGAGAATCTGTCGTAACCCGTTCACGTGGCTTCACGAAAGCTGTCTGGGAAGGTCGCAACTGTCGTAAATACATGCCAGTTCCAAGCTCATGTGAGTGTGGGGATGTTATGATCGTCATAACAGTGAGGACCAGTCGCACATGTGAGGACTGCCTTTTTCAGTGCTGTTTTAACTTTGGTCGCTAAATGAATGGTTGTAAATCGAGGACTGCTTTCGCTGGCATCTTCGGGCAGGTGGACAGTCTTCCTATATTTGAGGTAGTCCTCGACTTACAACAGTTCATTTACTGACCATTTGAAGTTACAACGGCACTGGGGGAAAAAAAGGGCTTATGACTGTTTTCACACTTATAACCGTGGCAGCCATGGACATGGGATCAAAATTCAGACGTCACTGGTTCACAGTTACGACGGTCGTGGGGTCATGTGATCAATTTTTTCAATGGGGAAGCCAGATTTCACTGAACACCCGTGAGATTAACTTCACAACTGCAGGAATTCACTGAACAACAGGGGACGAAAAAGGTCGTAAAACGGGACCCCATTCGTCTCACTTAGCAACAGAAATGGGGGGGGAGCTCGATGGCAGTTGTACATCCAGAAAATGTACCTGCATTTTCATTTTTCCAGATTTTATTTTATTTTTTTTCTCACGCCAATCTGGAGATTCTCTGCAGATGGGTTAGAAGCTTAGCGTAGGTTGGACACGTTGACGTAAACCTGGTGTAAATGACTGGGAAGGAGGAGAGACAGGCTTCCAAAGGTTTGCGATGGTGTATTGTTGGTTGCTTTATTATTATTATTATTATTATTATTATTATTATTATTATTATTATTATTATTATTATTATTATTATTATTATTATTATTATTATTTATTTATTTATTTATTTATTTATTTACCCGCGGTTTTCAAAAGAAAAGAATTTAAAGCAGTATTTTTCAGCCACTTGGAAGATGTGTGGACTTCAACTCCCACAATGCACACTGGCTGGGGGATCCTGGGATTTGAAGTCCGCATATGGCTGAGGTTGAAAAATAGTTTTACTCCGTCATGTGCAGTCTTTGGGGCTCTCTGAGCTTGGTGGTTTTCCTTGCAGACGTCTCCTGACCCAACTAGATTATGTTATCAGTGCTACACAGTAGTGGGATTCGTGGGGAGGAGGAGGATTGTGGGTTCCTTGTGGCTCTCTGAGCTTGGTGGTTTCCCTGCAGACATCTCATGACCCAACTAAGGAACATCATCTAGGAAGGGATTGGGTATCAACAGAGAGGATACCCACTCCTTTCTAGCCCTGATGATGTTCCCTAGTTGGGTCATGAGACGTCTGCAAGGAAACTCACTCAGTTCAGAGAGCACTAAGAACCTCACCGTTCCAATCCTGAGCTGCAGATATTCCCGTCTACTGTCCCCAAATTTCCCAGAATTCCATTCTTTCAACCCATGAGAGAAAAACATGGAGGTTTGAAGCCAACCTCTGGCTCTCAAGAAGACCCAAAGATTGGATTTCTTTGGGTAGCCTTCAAAACTAAACACCAGTGAGTTATCACAAGAAGATAGGACCATCTCCTTGATCACAACTGGTGTCCAGGGTTACTTCTGAACTCATTTAAACTAGAGAAAGGTGATATCAGACTAGGGTTTAGGAAACCAGGTTGGCTTCCACCGTGAGCCTGCATTTTCTCCCAAATAAAAGCAACTCAGGAAGCTTGAGGAGATATTTCTAGGTGTTCACCAACAATCCAGCATTCGAAAGCTTGATTTATACAAGAGGGCCATTTCCACAACTCAACAGGATGTTGGACAAAGAGTTGGGAACGACTGGGAGAAGACCAGGAGGCTGGAGATGTTCCTATGAAAAGCCCTCTGTAGAGGTGGAGAAGTTGTGGTCCTCCAGAAGCTATCGAGATGACAGTTTCCCGGTTCCTCGGGCACTGGGCTGATTAGCTGATGTGCTGGAGATCTCAACCCAGGCCAGAAGGAAGATGTACAGAAGTTCACAAGCAACGGGGTCTTCTTCTGGACCACTCATCCGCTGAATGAGTGTGGATCCTTCATATCTAGAGAGAGGTAACCTCCTCCAGACACTCCTTCCCCCTTCTCCACCCCACTCCAAGGAAGATGATCACTTCACTTGGAGGTTGAATTCCCTCTTTCCTCCAGCTCTCACGTTCCACTACTCAAATCAAGGTCCAGGAGAACATCTGCTGAACATGAAGGCTTCTGGAAACCTTAGGAAGGAAGGAGAGCTGAAGAACATCAAGGAGGAATGAAGGACATCATGAGTACCTTCGGCTTCAACCCAAACCAACAAAACTGGAATTGAAAGGTTCTGAATCATCTCCATGGTCAAGTCTATCAAGAAGTCGGTCCATCAGAATCAACTCTGGGACAGTGTTTCACCCTTTAAGATGGGTGGACTTCAACTCCCAGGATTTCATACCAGTGGAATTCTGGGAGTTGGAAGTCCACCCATCTTAAAGTAGCCAAGTTTGGAAACCAAGGGTTCTGGAGCAGGACATGGACCACCATGGATACAGTATGTCTCTCTTTGCTGCCAGTGAGAATAAAGTAAGAGAGAGAGAGAGAGAGAGAGACATCCAAGGTGGAGGACGATAGACGTTCCTTCAGGTTCTTCCCTGGTCATTCATGATCTCCATCTTAGAACTAAGTTTTGGGTGGTCCTTCTGGGATGGGAAGGATGGAAAATCAAGATGTGGGCTCAACCCATAAGCGAATGAAGAGCGGGCAGTGAAAGGTCAACCTTGGAGAAGTGAGAACATCACGTCCATTGAAGATGATCCAAAGAAATGAATGAGTGAAATGTACAATTCGATCAATAAAACGATTGGTGAAGTCTTTGGCAACACTTTGGCCAAGAAGACCAGGCTAGTTAATTTGGAGGGTCCCAGCAGAGACCTTCAGGATTGTGGAGTCCTCGGTGGTCTCTGAGCTGGGCCGTTTCCTTGTGGATGTTTCATGACCCAACTAAGGAACATCATCAGTGCTAGAAGGGAAGGGAATATTGCAAAGAGGAGGAGGAGGAGGAGGAAAAGAGGGCTGTGGGGTTCTTGGTGTTCTCTGAGCTTGGTGGTTTCCTTGAAGACATTTTGTGACCCAACTAAGGAACATCATCAGTGCTAGAAGGGGGGTTTCTATATGCTAGCACTGACGATGTTCCCTAGTTGGGTCACGAAATGTCTCCAAGGAAACCACCCAACTCAGAGAGCACCAAGGACCCTCCCCCCACCCTGAGCTACAAAAATTCTCTTCTACAGGGACCTTCAGCAGTGGTGAGGTTCTCCGGGCCAGCTCTGGATTCATCTTCCAAAGGGGTCTACTACGAAAGTCCTTGCTTGCAGGCTACCTTGAGGAGTCCCAACAAACATCTACCACCAATCTTGTGTCAACCCCTTCCCTATCACGGCAGAGAAGCTCCATGGGCGTGTTTCTGGAGTCCATCAGGACTTCCCCAACCTCTTGACCAAGAACGAGAAGGTTCATAAACACCTCCCACTCAGAGTGAACTCTCACCCAAGACTCTAGCTGCTAGGAAGTTGAGGTTCTTCTCCTTGAGACAGTGATATCTGAACTGCAAATATCCTGCTCCATCAGAACTGAGCCAAGCATACTCAGCCATGGTCCCTCTCTCTCTCTCTCTCTCTCCACGTGACCAACTAATGAATCTCCTGCACTCCATACTTCCAAACCAGGATGGTGGCATCTCTGCAAGGTTCCCGGGTTGAGGAACCACCTCTGGATCTCTTCGGATCGACCGTGGTCCCCTAGGAGAACGACTCACCTTTCCTCCACCAGGCTGATATTTGATGTTATCTGTGGAACCGATCTTGGACCGGACGTTCTTCAGATCCGGAACGGAGATGCTGGTGGAAGGCCGAGAAGGCTTGGGGACCGGGCTCGTTTTGGGAAGAGCCTTGGGTGCCAAGGGTGGCTTCTTGGCTTCGGCCGTGACGCCTGCCGTGCCAGGAGACTTGGAAGCCACGGGTTTTGCCTTGGGACGGGCGGCCGCGGGTCCCAACGGTGCGGGAGAAGAGGTGGTGGACGCCGGAGCGCTCTTGGGACGGCTCGGCTCGGCTGCAAGGAGAGAAGAGGGAGGTGAGGATAACACCAACCTCCCATGGAGAAAGGAGGACATTTGAGGAACGGATCTGAGAAGGTGATTACCTGGTGATGACTTTGCCGGGACCTTCTTCGCATCGGCGGCTTTGATTTCTGTCTTGACGGCTGTACAACACAAGAGAGATCAACGTCGGTTGATTTCCATCCTGCTTTTGTTGTTGTTGTTGTTGTTGTTATTATTATTATTTTTACGAAGAACTCAAGAGCGACAAACCTATCCGACAAACCTTCCTCTTCCTATTTTCCCACCTCAACCAGGCGAGGTGGCTTAGTATCCTTAGTGTTAACTTACATCCCTCTGCCTCGCTCTCAGAAGCCGACAAAAGCGAATCATTATCTCTAGCTCAGGGTTGAACTCTCTGAGCTGGGTAATTTTCTTGTAGACGTTGCATGACCCAACTAGGAAACATCATCAATGCTAGAAGGGAAGGGGGTTTGAGGAGGAGGAGGAAGAGGAGAAGGGGAAAGGGAGGGAGGGAGGAAGAGAGGAGGAGGAGGCCTTGGGGCCCTCTGAGCTTCATTGCTTTCTTGCCAGGGAGGGGATGGATGAACAAGGAAGGAAGGAAAGAAAGGAAAGGAAAGGAAAGGAAAGGAAAGGAAAGGAAAGGAAAGGAAAGGAAAGGAGGAAGGAAGGAAAGAAGGAAGGAAAAGGAAGGAAGGAAGGAAGGAAGGAAGGAAGGAAGGAAGGAAGGAAGGAAGGAAGGAAAGGAAAGGAAAGGAAAGAAGGAAGGAAGGAAAGAAGGAAGGAAGGAAGGAAAGGAAAGAAGGAAGGAAGGAAAGAAGGAAGGAAGGGAAAGAAGGAAGGAAGGAAAAGGAAGGAAGGAAGGAAGGAAAGGAAAGAAGGAACGAAGGAAAGAAGGAAGGAAGGGAAAGAAGGAAGGAAGGAAGGAAGGAAAGGAAAGAAGGAAGGAAGGAAGGAAAGAAGGAAGGAAGGAAAGAAGGAAGGAAGGAAGGAAAGGAAAGAAGGAAGGAAGGAAGGAAGGAAGGAAGGGAAAGAAGGAAGGAAGGAAGGAAGGGAAGGAAGGAAGATTCTTTTGCAACTACTTCTGCTAGAATGCTAGAAGGGAAGGGGGTTTGAGGAGGAGGAAGAGGAGAAGGGGAAAGGGAGGGAGGGAGGAAGAGAGGAGGAGGAGAAGGAGGCCTTGGGGCCCTCTGAGCTTCATTGCTTTCTTGCAGGGAGGGGATGGATGAGGAAGGAAAGAAGGAAAGGAAGGAAAGGGAAGGCGAAGGAAGGAAGGAAGGGAAAGAAGGAAGGAAGGAAAGGAAGGAAGGAAGGAAAGAAAGAAGGGAAAGAAGGAAAGAAGGAAGGAAGGAAGGGAAGGAAGGAAGGAAGGAAGGAAGGAAGGAAGGAAGGAAGGAAGGAAGGAAGGAAGGAAGATTCTTTTGCAACTACATTCTACGTCTAACCCCGTTCCCAAGTCGGGTTGGACATCCTGAGGCCCTGGAGACCAACCCAAGGCTCCATGAAGCTCCTTCAACCTCCAATGCCCCACTGATACGGCCCCACCTCCCATCCCTCCATCTACAAAAGGCCCCCTCCTCCCCAGAATTTCCCAGGCTCCCAGGGACGACTCACCGGAGGGCTTCTTCAGTGGCAAACCAGCTGTGGTCCTAGGGCTGGGCAATGTCCCACCAGTGGCCACCGGAGGCTTGGAAGCGGCCGAAGTGGTCTTCACACTTGGCCGAGGGGAGGTCGCAGAAGGGGACTTGGAAAGGGAGACCTTCTTCTCCGGGATCTTAACGTCGGTCGCCTAGTAAGGAGAAAAAAAATCACGTCGGAACGAGGAGCATATTCCATGTTCTCCAGAAGTTCCTTCGGGTTGAGAAGCTTTCAACCACGTAGAGTTGGGAGGGACCTTGGAGGTCATCTACTCCAACCCCCCTGTGCTCAAGTAGGAGACATATTATTAAAGCCATCTTCTGTACAGCCTCTCTTATTAAGTGTCTTTCTTCACCCGTTGTACAGGGCTGGGCTCTGCCATCTCTTATCTGCCCCTTCCCTAGCCAGGATCTCTTCACCAAGATGCCGGAGGCCTTTTCTACGTACAACGACCGATATCCGGAATGTCTTACAAAGAGGAAAAAAAAAACATTCCTGGCAGGGTCTCCGTCCCCCGCAAATCTCTGCAATTTCCAGAGGGCGTGAAAGCTTGCTTACCTTCGGTTTAACCTCTCGGGAAGTTAAACTGGAGGGTCGAGTGACACCGGTCGATGGGCGTTTGGGCGTGGTCGATGCCGCAGAGGGGCTGGCGGTGGCTTTTTTGCTTGGGCCCAGCGTGGCCGAAGCCGGCCGCTTGGCGGGGGGAACACCAGGCGCCCCGAGCTTGGCTTTCGCTGCAGCGGGTTTTGCCCCCGCGATGGCCGAAGGCTTGACGTGGAAACATGCCCACAAGCCGAACGGAAAACAAAGAGACGACAGAGAAAGAGAGAGAGAAAGAGACGGAACGGAAAAAAGAAAAAAAGAAAAACAGAAAAGCCGGGCGTTGTAAATGAAAGGCTGAACATTAGGCAAAAAAAGAAAAAATAAATAAACAAAACCCCAAGCACAACTCAGGTCAATTCAGAATTAAAATAAGGACGGCATGATTCTGTTCTCTGAGATCAAACCGGGGAATTTTTAAAATCGGATTGTCGGTCCTCTGGGGAACAGAGGTGGAAGAGGATTCGGAACGGAAGAAAGGAACAGTCAAAGGTCTGTAATAGCAATCAGGGGTCCCTGGTGCTCTCTGAGCTGAGTGGTTTTTATTTATTATTTTATTTATTTTATTTATTTAATTTTTATACCGCCCTTCTCCCGAAGGATTCAGGGCGGTGCACAGCCAAAAATAAAAACGAACATATATAAAATTTAAAACAGTTTAAAAGGGAATTAAATAATTTGGCCCATTTCAATTAAGACAAAGACAACCCATATAACTTAAAATTGATCTTGGTATTCAGGCCAGCCCAGCTTGTTGAAATAAGTTTTCTTGCAGATGTTTCGTTACCCAACTAGGTAATGACATGAGTGCTAAAAAGAAGGGAGGCTTTGTGGAAGAGAGGAGGAGGAAGAGGAGGAGTAGGGAACATCATCAGTGCTAGAAGGAAGGGGGGCTTTGTGGAGGGAGAAGGGAAGGAGAAGGAGAATGACAGTGGGGTCCTTGGGGCTTTCTGAGCTGGGTAGTTTTCTTGCAGACGTCTCGTTACCCAACTAAGTAATGACATCAGTGCTAGAAGGAAGGGAGGCTTTGTGGAAGAGAGGAGGAGGAAGAGGAGGAGGACGACAGTGGGGTTGCTCTCTGAGCTGGGTGGTTTTCTAACAGACGTCTCATTACCCAACTAGGTAACGTCATCAATGCTAGAAGGAAGGGGGCTTTGTGGAGGGGGAGAGGGAGGGGGAGGAGAATGGGGAGGAGGAAGTGGGGGAGGAAGACTTGTTGGAGTCCTTGGTCTTCTCTGAGCTTGGTGATTTTTTTGCAGACGTCTCATGACCCAAGTAGATAACATCATCAGTGCTTGAAAGAAGGTGGGCTTTGTGAAGGGAGGAGGAGGAGGAGGAGGAGGAGGAGGAGGAGGAGGAGGAGGAGGACTGGGAGAGTCCTTGGTGCTCTCTGAGCTTGACAGTTTTCTCGCCATTTCATTACCAAACTAGGTAACATCATCAGTGGTACTGACGAACCTGGAGCAGGATTTCTCCACCTTGGTAAACTGGCCCCACATTTTTCATGGAGATGAAGATGGATGAACCAAGTGGTCCATGTATCTTCAAGTCTCCAAGATATGGCTGTTCACCTCAAAAGCCTTGAACTTACAACAGTGATTCTCAATTGTGTTACATTATCCCACAAATCTTTCATGGAGATGAAAATGGTTGAACCAAATATGGAGATGGTCCATACATGGTCCATAGATGTTCAAGCTACTAAGCTATGGATGTCCACCTAAAAAGCCATGAACTTCATAACAGGTTTTCTCAACTGTGGCAGGAGTGTTCATCCATCTTTAAAGGAGATGAAGACGAGTGGACCAAATATGAACTTGGGTCGATACATCTCTAAAGGTCCATCCATGTTCAAACTATCAAGTTATGGTTGCCCACCTCAAAGCCATAAACTTCCAGAAGTGTTTCTCAACTTTGGCAGCTTGAAAGATGTATGGACAACTTCCAGGAGTCCCCAGCTAGTACTGGACTTGAAGTCCAGACACCTTCGAGTGACCAAGGCTGAGACTCTCCGTTCTACAGGTTGCAAGGACCTTCTTCTGAAGGATTATCTCAGAGAACAGATTTTAGCGCTAGCTTAGAAGAAGCAGGGTGGGAAATCAAGCGTGTCAAAAGCAGGAAACGTGGAAGATTCCTCACCTTGGTTTTCTTCTCAGGAGTCGGTGGAAGTTCCTTGCTGGGAACGGCAGCTGCGTCTTCCAATGACGGAACCTCAACAGATGCCTTCACCTCTT